TAGAGGACCGTATAGCAAGTTCAGATGGGCAGCGTTCAACATGCAGCAAATAGGTGGCCACAAAAAGTTACGATGGTTACTGTTTCACAGCTTTGCAAGTCATTATAATGTCAATGAATGACGTCACACCGTTTCTAAGACGCATGCCGGGATTTCCTATGGGTGGGGTCCCAGTGTAGCTCGTATTGATTTTCTTGTGTTCGCTACCTACATGTACATGTATAGATCTATCACAACGCTAAGGATTTCTGCAGTGCCGAAACTCAATCATCCGTAAAATATGTGGAGCTTGGCGGGTAATTGGGGGCGGAACCTGAGCGTTGCAGATAAGGCAATAGGCCCGCAATCCACGACAGCGGCACAGTCTACCTTGGTTGGTTTTTTTTTTTTGGGGGGGGGGGCGTCCTTAAGGATTGGGAAAACGGGAAGGACTTCTTTGTGGCCATTTTTGGAGGTGTGTATTTCCCGGTCTACGAAATTCGAACAAGTTACACAAGCAAATTGAAAGTTTCAGAGAAACTGCTCTGTGTCCAGAACGAGTGCGTTTGGATTGTGTGTGCGTCAAACCACCGCGGCGGTAGAGGGCGCTATCTACAAGGTGTGTGGGTGTATATCAATTAATCCAGTCGTACGGTGGAAAACGTGGCCTATACTTTTCGGGAACTTCGGTTCATCGAGCTAAACCACCTAATGCAGTTTCAAATATTCCTTGCCACACCCTGGTTCAAGACGTGACAACTGGACGCCAAATGCACAGACATGAGACGCTAAAGTGATTGATCGAACTTTTTCCTCCACCTCACACGGTCTTTTACACCGTGCTCGTCTCCCTCCACTATCCCGGATCCCCGGGGCAAACCGACGAAATGTTCCCAGTAGAGCAATAACCAGATATCGCTATCACCCCAAGGTTTTAGGAAACGCAACACTGCAAGGAGAAATATAAATCATACACCAACTGTAATAATCATCCGGCAAACGATACGCGTTGTCGCCTCTAGTAATGATCCTTCCCTGTCACAACTAATTAATTTTGCGTTGTGAATAGGTGATCTGTATGTTGTGGAATTGTTTCGTGATATTTTATTAGCTCTCGTTTCAAACTGCCTTGCCGCTTTGGGTGTTGTGTTTTGTGTAGTATAGAAATGTATACTAGGGAAAATAGCTGAGTTTTGCCGAAGGTGGGTAATGTTGTAACGTGAACTTTTGGATTGAACTTTGTATTTTATTTCCTCGATCAACAAACGCAGAGAACTTGAAATAGGGTAGTGAATTTTGTCCATCAGGCGGAACGGCAAAATGAGGAATTTTATAAAGATATTCGGACACTAAAAGATATGAGAGAGGTAATTTGGATGGACACAGACTGGTATGAAAGGCAAACTTTCATTAAATATGGGTCATTCAATAAATTTGTGATCCACATTTTCTTTCTTTTTTTGTTGCATCTATATGTTTTGAAAATAATTTTCATGCACTCCTTTAATGCAGTCGTCTTTCAAGAGTGATATGAATAGCATAGGCCTACCTCAGTTTAAGTAATTCTAAATAGTGTTTGAATGGCAAATTACAAAGTACCAAGGTGGCAGGGACAATGCCGGTAACAATTTTTGCTTTGGACCCTAAATTAATATAATGACCCATAACTAGAAAAATTATGGATGTTGGAAAACTGGCCGGAGTATTTTGTCCAAATCGACTACATAATCATGAGTACAGTACTTACAAATACTTACTTAAGCATTTGTCAAAACGTGTCAACAAAAAACAAGTAAAGCTTTGGCTTGGAAAAAATGTACATGCAATGGATTTGCATGTCTGCAAGAGGTTCAAATATTTATAGTGAGCTTGGGACGTTTTACAATGCAAATATCAAATTTGCAAAATTACCCAAACTTTAAAAAAAAAATCATCCATGGTAAAATATATGAATTCTAATACCAGTGATAAACTAATTTTTGGGGAATTTTTTTAAAGTAAAATCAAAACTGAATACGTCATTTGTGTTCATGACCATTAAAACCACACATCAACTCTACGTATAATTCCATAATGTCTAGGAGCTTGACTACATTGGTCTTTGCAATGGTGGCTGGCCAAATACGGCTAAAATTAACTTGCAACCTTATCTTGTTTTCTGTTCATTCCATGATAAATACACTCTCAAAACCGCGGTCGGATTTGATCAGGAATCCTGGTCTTTTTGGATTTATGCTTTTCAGGGTCGAAAATGATTGGGGGGGGGGGGGGACATGTACAATGTATACTTCTACACATGAAATCAAGTCCTTCACCCGTGTGTGCGCGCGGTGCATAACCAACTAATCCGACACTGCGGTTATATACCGCCCCCTTGCGTCACGAAGTTCCACCACGGACCTTCGCTCGTACCCCCGCCCTGCAAACAGGACGCTGGGATACTCTGATGAATTCACGCTCTGATTGGTTGGATTTTGCGTGACCGGTGACCTGCGCGTCATCAAGGTCATGACTCTGCAAGGTTTGAAACGGCCGTTTTAAACTACTACTAAAAAGTAGTAAATCCGTCAAACTAAGAGTAAGACCCAATCCGAAAAGGGAGTTTTGTTAGTGGCTATACAGCCACGGCTAAGGGCGTCACCGTGGCCCGCGGTACCCGTCTGCCTTTACCCGTGTCGGCGACCCGGGTGAGCTAAATGAACGCACCCAATCCGAATTATTTGGGTCCGTGGTTCGCTCGTGCCCCCCGCCCTGCAAACAGGGTGCTGGGATACTCTGATGAGCTTCACATAATCTTGTGAAGGAAGTGACTGAACTTGTGATTTACTTGTGACTGGACTTTCGATGGACTCGGGCCCTTCTTTGGAGTTTGAGCATTTGTTGCGACAAACGAAAAAAAAAAATACTCAAATAACAAAGATGGTATATTCTAACTTTAAATGGACTTCAGTTGGAGTCCAATAAGGCGGGACTTGTTTAGCTTGTTTGCACCGCCTACATAATATACGCACGCCAAACTACGCTCTCTATGATCGTGCACAAAGCGATTATCTCGGTTCAAGATCTGACACTGATCCTCTGAAAAAAGAGTGAATCAGGACGAGCTGGCTGCTCGCAGGGTAGGGCGCCCCCACTTTCCTGGTAGGTATTAAAAGACAGATTTGCTCCAGTCAGTGAACGTTGTGCAAAGCCACTCATCATTATTTCTCTTTTTTTGTAAATCATACAAATATGTACATTTTAACCCTAAAGGAGCCGGGTTATTTTGACCATTCACAGCTGGGGGGGGGGGGGGGGGGGGCTCAGTGCTTGCATAGAACAACTTAATATGAACAAACCCAAGAAATTTCGTGACTATTATGTCAAAGGGTTTCGGAATTATGGCTAATTAATTATTCATATGCACCAATGGTACTTCTGCTTTGTGTACACTACATATAAATGTTTGGGGAAATTCATTTTTCACAGCGCGTAGCGCCCCCCCCCCCCAAAAAAAAATCGCTGCGTGACAACCCATTGTCGGAATTGTATGTGTTTGGTATCAAAAGATGCGCAAGACTCGAGGCTAAAAAGTCAGGAAAGCTCGGGTCGGGGAAAAAATGTTTTTGCAAGGGTATCGCGGAAAAAATTGAGGGGGGGGGGGATTCCGCCCGGCCCTTTAAGGGTTAAAGCAGTTTAATCCCTGATTAATATCACTACTCAGGTAGTTCAGAGAGAAATGCCCAAGACTGTGCCTCATTTTGAAGTTGACATGAAGTGTACAGTACTATGCTATGAATGAGCTGAGCTGACTGTAACTGTATTAGCAGGATTCAGAGATTGGGCTGGTAATCTTTCTCCCAATCTTTCCACTTTTTATAATGTAGACATTGTTTATGGTTCATTTACTACAAGGGTAATTTTTTTGTTAAGTCGTGCCTGAACTTGCTGCAAGTTGCCGGTTCACGGGAATGCGGATCATTACTAAATACAAAATGCAGGCCTAACAGGTCCAGTTCTAGACTGAAAACATCGGCGAGAATTACAACATGCTTTCCTCTGTCAGACCCTGAAAATTAAAAAAGGACAAAAAAATATTAACCAGACCAATGCGAATACAGAAATAATATTAAGTTTATTTCATGACATTAATAGTTGCAAAAAAGGCCTTGTTTATATAAATACAATGGAATATACTGCAACTCTATATAAGTCAGTTTCTATAATAACAAAATTCACCTACAAAACCAAAAGAAATGTAGCTTTTACGGTAAATCGCGTACATGTTCATGAACTTGCAAATTCATAACGGCAAATTTCAGTAAAACGATCAATGATTTAAAAAAAAAATAGTTTAGATTTCAAAACATGATTAGGAGAATGTTGTCATTTATACAACTCGTTATTTACAACAGTAGTTTGAAATGAAGTATTGAATCGCAAATGTATCTAATATAGGGTTTTATCAATTTCATTTTACTTTGTTGTGGTAATATTGTAAAAAGAGTAAATGTTACTTAAAATCCATTGTCTTAAAACAAAGACGATTTTCATGTCTTCAAAAAGCTACAATGTATATTGAAAATAATGCCAAGCCATATTACACGTGCTTCATTTACAAACGAAAGTAATAGTTCAAAATTTGTTCTAAAAACGGTCAGATACAGCAGAAATTTGATTTTATAGATCTCAAACTCGTTGGATTCAAGTTCATATTTGCCATGAAGTTCATGAGCCAACAAGAAGTTAACATTAATCATAACTTTGAAATTTCAAAACAGTTCAATAAATTAAAAATACATCTTCAAGATCGCAGCGAGTCCTTCGTACAAAAGAACAGTAAACACATTATTATTTGAGCTGTGTTTGCGTTTTAAGTTAAAGTTACACAATTCATCCAATTTTGCACAAAGTGTATAACTATCATAGCAAGATTTAATAGAAGGAGACGAAAGTCTTACCAGCTTTCCCATGCAACAGCTATGTGTGCTTGCAAGAAAGTTTATGGACTGGTGCTGGGTTTAAAGAACCCTCTACTGCAATAATGTGTTTTGTGATTTTGGATGCCAGACAAAATGTCTTCCGAACAAAATGCCAGGGCTTAAAAGTTTACATGTGTCCTGCAATGCTGGATTCAATAGCCTATATCACAATTAATAATAATTATATACAAAGTCATGAACAATATCTACAAATTCAATCGCGATTGATTTTTATGTTAGGCGAGTGCCAAGTTCAAGAGAAAATAACATGGGCTCGTATTTTCATTACAATGTAATGGCTTCGTTCTTGAATGCCATCAAAATCCCTATATCATACAAACCAATATTTTTTGTCTTTTTCTTTTACTGGAAAAGGGAAAATACCAAGATGACAATCTCCCCCTCCCCAATGCACCTGTAAAATGTCGAAACGAATGCAAACTGTTTGTTTGTGTTCTTTCTTGTTAAGACAACGAGAAATAAGAGAATTATTCGGTACATTGTACTATAATTATACCTTCAACAGATTAGAGGTAAAGTTAATCAGCATCAAATCCAGCTTATATTTACAATGTATTCAGTACGCCCAAATATGCTTATTCAGTTTTTTGGCTCAGATAGAAATGGTGCATTTTACAACATGAATGTAATGAGTGCGTTGAACAGATGTCATTGTTATGCATAACTGTACAAGCTGTTGAAGCCCAACTCAGTGCACTTTTTGGATTGCATGGAAACACTCTTTCGATGAGCTAAGAACAAACATGTTCCAACCGTGCTCTTGATAACTGACCACCTTTTCCTGACAGGAAAAGAAGTGTGCACAAAACAATAGTCCCTTTATTTACACGTGTGGACCTCGTAATTCCGGACGCACTCATCGCAAACCACCTTACAACACCAGACGAACTGGCAGTTACATCTCTCCACGACCTGTCTCCGGATGGTGTTGTACCCCCGTCCGCAGCACATGAGCTGGCATCCATCTATTGCGTCCGATGTCCGGTTGCAGGTCCGTCCCACCGTGCCCAGGGAGCCCAACTCCGGGTCGAGTCTGCAGTAGTCTGGTGACGGGTCGTAGTAGATCAGATCCGCCTTGGTCGGGGGTTTGTACAACAGCGATTTGGGTTCGAGGACCTCCACGCGACCGCGTGGGTCCGATTGGCGCACGACTCGCATCTCGGCCGCACTGTCGTACTTGTCTTTGAGTTTGGCACCCAGCCTGCGGAATGGTACCATCTGCCACCAACAGGACTTCAGCTCGCAGCTCCCAGAGATGCCGTGGCATTTACATTTGAGCTCCAGACTATCTGCTACTGCCTGTAAGAGATCAAAAGAAGCTCACCGATAACGTACGCCTATAAGGTAGGCTATTAATTTTATTCTGACAACAATTAGTTCCAATGCCGTATTGCCGCAAAAAAAGAGTGATTTTGGCTACTTCTCAGTGGAACTCGTGTTTTGCAAGGCGGCATAAACATTTGCGATCTAACGATAAGTTTACACCTTATGATGCCTTGTGAGAAACATTATATAGGTTTCCGGAGACAGTAGTCTTAATTCCTGTCCCATTTCCTCACCTTTCGTCCAGCCTCGTCATTGTGTCTGTCCATGATCACACGGGCCCTTGTCCAATGCTCCTTGGGGCTGATGAATTTCCGGCTGAACTCCAGGCCAAATTCGACGTCCTCGCTGCAGCCACCCCATCGCCATGTGGCGTTTGGGATTATCTGTGAGACAGGATAAATAAAACCGTTTAACTGCTTGCAAGTTCTTACAGTGAAAACTAAAAGTTACGGCACCTTTTATAAATATATTATTTTATCATACAAAGTAACTTCAGGCAAAATGCCCAGTGTTCCTTTATTTCTTGTCTTGTTGCGGACACCATCAAGGAATTGCAACCCTAAAACTTTGGTATGCCCAAAAATCCTCGGAAAGCTGTCTTGTCGATAAAAAAAATAAGAATATGGCTTTTTAAATTTGGTCTGTTTTCCCCCACAATTCTGGAATCCATTTTTCTTTAATTCCAAGACGCCAGTGAGCTGAGATGCGCGCTCCGAAGAATGTCCGAAGAAGCAAATAGTTTGGGTAGAAAAATGTCCCTCCATATAACAGACCGTTTATACTGGAAACACATGTACACTCGACTCTCGTTAGTACAAACTCTGTTCATTCAAAATTCTGGTTATAACAAACATAAAGCTTTGGTCCCGACTGTTTTTATATGCACAATGAATGGGACTGATGTTCCTCTTAATGCAAAATTCTGATATAACAAACAACTTTTGGCTAGGTCCGAACGAGTTTGTTATAACGAGACTCGACTGTATATCAGTAAATATTGGTCCTAAACGTATACATACACACGATCTATGTATACTGAATACATAAAAACCTCACTTGAACCATATCGGCCCAATATGAAAGTATTCGATGCTGCATTTTGGTGCAAATGGTTAAGAATAGCCACATGCCCAGCCTCGACTCCATGAGCGCGTGCGCGTTCCTTATCGCGTAAGGCATGATGGGAAACAACATGGCGCAGCAAGATCGTACCCATGGGGAACGAGGTTGCCACATGCCTTAACTGTAGTATGGTACCCAATACTCTCGGTCAGTGAAAAGCACTTCTGAGTGACATGAAGTGACATCATTGGAGCATTTCTCATAATCAGTTGGAGGACAATTACAATTTTTTGTTTACACCTTTGAACGATCAAAGCCTGAAATAATGTAAGCTCTCTATACTTACGTGGTGTGGGTTGTCAGCAGGCCCTTGGTGTCTGGTATCACAGCTACATCCGATGTAATCCCCGCGGGAACACGCACGGCTGATAGAGTGCGCCACACCAGCGGAAAAGATGGAGTTGACGAACGCTTTCTCTCGCGAACCTGCTCTCAGAAAGAAAAAAAAATAACCAAACAGGAAAAGTTAAAGTGTGCATTCAGTTCATTAGTGATTATAGTGTAGAGAGCAATCAGGGAAACGGGAGGTCATTACAAATTATAAGATAGTGTCCCCATAAATGACGATATAGGTTTGACAAAACATGTTGCATTTGGATTATAATGTGGTATATGTTTGTACATATTTCAAAACACCAATCATCAAACATACTTAGTATAAACATTAAACTATGTAGAATGTTTTAATGATAAGAATGTTACGCTGTATTAAAAAAAATACAAAGTTGGCTTTATATCTTTTGATTCTTTTTTTTTAATAGACCGGATAGAGCAACCTCTTTGAGTCAATCGACCATTTCTTTTTAAACTCGACATTAAAAAAGACAATGTGTTTTTTCTTGTTTTAAAGCGATCATGGGAAAAGTTCAGAGCAAAAATCACATCTTGTCAAATATTTAATTTATATCATCGATTTATATTATTATAACGTCATTGGATCTATGGAAAGATGTAAAAGATAATGATTAAGTAATAGATAGTAAAACTACAAAAACAATAAGACATTACAATGACAAATAACGTCAAAATCTAAATTTCAGGTTTTTCTCACCGAATTGCAAAATTTTGCCGAAGACGGACTCGTCCCCTTCGATAGTCGTACAATTCCACCGCCTGCCGCGGAACTGGAACTGACACTCATCGATGCCCTGTTTAGCGCCCTCTGCCACCGTCGGCACAAACTCCTCGTTTTGCTCGCAGTAGCGGAGCTGGCGGTTCTGAAAGCCGGGGATTCTCCGGCACGGGTAGTCGAAGATCTGGTCCTCGGCAAACGTGTAGGCGGTGCCAAGCGTCCTGAAAAACATGGAAGGATGGACGTTTAGTTATTTTTTTGTTACAGAAAGAGCATGGAATAACCGTTGGTTTTTCGGGGAGGGGGCGGGATTGTCCTCAATTGTTTTGTTGAGGGGGTGACAGTTAGTGGGCTTGGTCATTTTCAAACAATAGAGGTTTTTTTTGCCTTCCCGTTCTGAGCAGTACAGCTCGGGGTTTAGTGGCTTTATTTGTTGAAGCAAAATGATAAAGTACAAGTAAAACATTTTTGGTGTGAATTGCCGAAACTGAGGTGTTGCGGATACAAACCCTCTAAGAAACGCCCCTATAAAATAAGGATCAGACGTTCACGAGAATGTATGTGCGGAGTCACACTAGAAAGTTAACGTCTGATATAATCAGTGCACGTAAAATTTTAGGCGACCGCGCGCGCCAGCCAATTGAAGCCTCCTTCAGAAGTTGTGACGTCATTCAGAGCAGAAATTCGGCCAAAGCTGTTGATTGGTCAATGGCTGGGATGTTTTACTCATAGAACATAGGGTTACCGAGTACACGATAGAAGGCGCCGGATGAATGGTCACAATATGGAGGTACATGTACGGACGCAGTGTTGTTTTGCATAATCTGTACGCATATCAAGACGCTTGCCGTGCAAGACAACCTATCCGAGTATAGGAAACGTTACGACGAATGCACCATGCACTGCAAAACACAAATGTATTGCTTAATACTAGGGGAAAGAAGCTGGATAACGAAAACCCTGAAAGGGGTTATTGTTTGGGCTACACCGCCCGGCAGGAAAGGTTTTGAAAATTCAACCCACACCAGCCCAAGCCATAATAGATGTTGACAAAAATGCACGTGGCCTGAATGCTTGATAAGTATTCTTCGGGCCAAGTGTACTTTGGCGAATTATTCTCTTGAAAGGAGTTTTGGTATTTTATCGCGCAAATATAATATCTATAGAAACACAATGCCCAATTGCTTTGAAGTTCGCCGCCATTTCATGGTTTCTTGATCTTAGGTTCGCAAACTCGATGGGTAGGCCTCGGTATATTACAGACAAAACATAGGTGTTCAGGCTGAAAAATTCTGGGCTTCTATTAAAACGTTCTTCGTGAGCCCTTTGCGAAATTTACATCAGCTAGGTATTGCAAAATTCCTTTTCATGTGGGGAAAATAAAGAAGGAAAATGGAGAAAGGGAAAAAATCCATTCCGAAAGTAGTTTAAGAGTCAACGCTTGTAGATCAAGCCATTAGCTTTAATACAAATATATTTTAAAAAAATGGCATGAAGTGTCTTGTGTACAACACTTCCGAACCTCCTCTTGTCTTGAATCGAGTTTCAAGTTAGAGGCTTTGTGTTTCGCCCAGTGACTTGAATCACTCAAAATATTAGTTAGAGACTTGTAAATAGCGCCCTCTGTTGCCCAAAGTCTCCTCTGTGGGTTTTACACAATCGAAATTGCCCGCACAACCTTCCCCATAAAACCACCAAAAATCGAACCCCAGTAACCACCAGCTCTTGAAAGAAAGTTGATTAAAATCTGAGAAATTCCCACCACAAAACGTGGCCCGGGGGAAAGCTATCAATCTATGCCATCTTTGAGGGCAAAATCCCGGTACTAATCGCGTTACGCTGAAAAGACCGAGGGTGCCTAAAATTCCTGTGAATCAGAACTCCTTTTATTAGGTAAAAAAAAGGGATTGTGGAAATTCCACCTATGCAAGCAATTGATATGGTATCTTTATTATTGAGAATTATTGGGGGTTGGGGGTTGACCTCATCAAAGTGCCCTGGCTTTCCTGGGTTTGAATTGAGTGTCATTGAATGAAAAAGCCCCACATGATTGTAACGTTGTCCAACTTCCCTGTTTTGTGGGTGTAAACTTGGCAAATCTTGCCGATAACCTGAAATGAAGTCAAATCTTGTGAAAGACGGTCCAGAAGGCTAAAACTTTTGAAATCAAGAAGTCGTTCACAGGATGGACCTTTGGCAGGGTAACTCGAGGAACATTCTTTAACTTCCAAAAAGAATTTACCTTTTAATTTAGGATTAAAACAACGAATTCTGACTTCTAAGGATTTGACATTATGAAACTACTAAAACGATAAAACAGCAACCTCAGTTACAACTAACGGATAAATAATACTGCCACAACAGAGGAGAGGAGGCAGTGAAATGCTGTTTTGATGTTGTTCTCATCTTCGTTTTGAAATGGATTTTCCCAATGAGCAAGTTCAGAGAAGGTTAAGGTAACACATCATGCACAATCCATTAAAAGATCAGTCGGTGTATTTTGCCAAGAATAACAGTTTTGCCTTGACGGCAAATTCGTCACAAATGTAATCAAAAATGTCACTAGCTGCAGGCGAGTCCTAAATGCCGAACAATTAAAAGCGACCTTCCACCAATTTGGTGAAAGAATTGAACTTTCACTAGTCGACAATTAAAAATGCATTTATCTTCGCAACTTCTTTGACCTTTTTTTGTTACAAAACTGCTCCCTTGGGCCTTAACCTTCGAAGGCGCTAATGGAGACATTAGTGGCGTCATCATGGCAAAAGGGCACCGGACCAAAAACAAGGACGTTCAATGCATACTGTGTCAAAAACAAACCTTTCTTCAAATCTCATTTCACAAGTACGCACTGCCTTCATATAATGAAATGAAACTGTTTACAGAATTAGCAACAGAAGTCACCGCTAATTTGTCGAGACTTGTGTGACACGGAGCGTATTCAGCTCCAAATCTTTTAATTGCCCCTTGCCCCGAGAAACATGTTTGTTTGTTCCCTGTCCTTGCTACATGTATTTTTATTTGTCGACTTTTCAACACAGCGACTGTTTCGCCGTCCTTGCGTTGAGACCGCGGGGGCTGGATTTCTAAATAGAGGATCATGTCGCCCCTTTCTTCGTTCTGATCAAGAACATGGCGTATCATGGGCAAACTGCAAAAGGGCATCAAATGGCGCATGTCCTTCGGGACAATACGACATCGTCTGGTGGAGAACAATAATACTTACAACAGCGGGGTGTCGTGTATTTTCAAAAGGGGGCGCCGCATCATGCTAACGATTTAGACAAATAGAAAAGGTACTTTGCCGATCCGAGTCAAGGAAAGGTTGACAAATTTAACCAGTGCAGCAACAGTCAACCAGAATTAGCTCCTCTTCATTTACTTTTTCCTAAATTCATTCCGGAGAAATTCACGCAAATGGTTTATAGCTAATGCTTAACTCAAGTTTCAAGTTTGGTTTTATTCCACTCAACTTCACAGTAGCATTTGGACAATAATTGAAGATATTTGGGATGTTGTGAGTGAGGGCCATCTAGAAACCAATGAGGGTTTGTAGCGATGAACCTAATGGTGGGTCCCAACAGTAGAGTGGAAATGTTTGTCAATTACAACATCAAACTAACCCATTAGGGAATTTCGAGTAAATAAATCATAAGAATATAAGCAGTTTGAGAAATTTGGAATCATTATAAGCAAAGTATATTGATACAAGGCATTTCTGACTCTATACTATTGGCGTTTACCAAAAGTTTCTTTTAGAATAATTACAAATTACACAAATGACACAGACTGGGCTCACACAGACATGAACACTGGACATCGACATTCGACACCAAACTGAAGCTTTATTTAGACTTATCTACCCAAAACAGCTGATTTTTAGCAAAATATAATTTGTGTAAAGCTTGATTCGAAACCCACCCCCACCCTCTCAAATTTACCCACGTAATCCAGGGTTTTTTTCGACGCTTCTGTTGAAATATTCAAATAAAAGGTTCAGCTACTCTGAAGTTGCTGGTCCGCTGGAACTGGAGGCATTCCAGCGATATTTCAAAGTCAGAATACTCCAACAGATTTCCCTGTATTTTCCCCTATCAATTGTCTGCTTCACGCACCAACGCCTCCAAGGCATGCTTTTAAACGAGACAAAAGTCCGTTAAAAGATACTTGAAATATATAAAAGACTGTATTTTGCGAAGGCCCACTTTGCCACCGCTAAGCACATACTGATTCGTTTCAATCCATTCCAAATCATTGAATTTCAAACCCATTGACCAAAACAATTTGTCTCTTTCGTGTCAATTATGTCGAAGGTCATGGGAGATATGCACGGATGATTTTTTTTTTAAACCGCAGTTTATTTTGACGAATTCTGAGAGCCAGGTGTTGAAAATTGAAGAAAAAAAATAACTTGCCCGAAATTATATTCATTTGACAATGTCTTATTTACAGAAAGGCACAGTGTCCTACTGTGCTTCCTTTTCGTCGGAAAAAAAATAATAAACTGTACGGTATATTGCAATGGATAATATGGCTGTTTAAAATACCTATGCCATGACGGAACTCTATATAAAGCCAAGCTGCAAGGCTTACATTTTATTCCCTTCATCTTTTTATGATCCTCGAAACTGGATGGTTGTTGATTTCAGAGCAAATCAGGTGCGACACATTAACAGTGAGCTGGGACACACGTTTCCTTTAAGTGTGTCATTAATTGAAGTGCAAAGAAATGTTAACTGAAAGTACTTATTTGTCCGAGGTTAGAAATAAGTGCAGAGAATTGCCAGATTCAATGACCCGATTAGTCATTGGAATTTGTAAGCGACTGTCAATTTTGTTGTTTCAAACATGCAGTCCTAGATTGTTTATCATATACAGGCGTGAATTAACTGTTACATTTGAGCAGAAGTAATTCGGTCACTTGTCAACTTTATTTTGTGGTGTATCGATTGCAATGAGATCAACCAATGAATGATTCATGACAAAATTTGAACCTACAAGTTCAGACTACCAGTATAGGCCTAGTTCCGACTATACAGGTCACTGAAGGTAACATTTGGAGTGACAGTGTAAGTCCCATGACGTCACAATAAACACTTAACGATTCCATGGATACCATATACAAACTTAACCAAACTCTCTTTTAAAACCGTAATTATCACTGACAATATCCGTATACTTATCTTCTTATAACGCACATTGGTTTCAATTGATCCCATTT